CTCGCTCTCTGAGCTCTCTCCCTCGCTCTCTGAGCTCTCTCCCTCGCTCTCTGAGCTCTCTCCCTCGCTCTCTGAGCTCTCTCCCTCGCTCTCTGAGCTCTCTCCCTCGCTCTCTGAGCTCTCTCCCTCGCTCTCTGAGCTCTCTCCCTCGCTCTCTGAGCTCTCTCCCTCGCTCTCTGAGCTCTCTCCCTCGCTCTCTGAGCTCTCTCCCTCGCTCTCTGAGCTCTCTCCCTCGCTCTCTGAGCTCTCTCCCTCGCTCTCTGAGCTCTCTCCCTCGCTCTCTGAGCTCTCTCCCTCGCTCTCTGAGCTCTCTCCCTCGCTCTCTGAGCTCTCTCCCTCGCTCTCTGAGCTCTCTCCCTCGCTCTCTGAGCTCTCTCCCTCGCTCTCTGAGCTCTCTCCCTCGCTCTCTGAGCTCTCTCCCTCGCTCTCTGAGCTCTCTCCCTCGCTCTCTGAGCTCTCTCCCTCGCTCTCTGAGCTCTCTCCCTCGCTCTCTGAGCTCTCTCCCTCGCTCTCTGAGCTCTCTCCCTCGCTCTCTGAGCTCTCTCCCTCGCTCTCTGAGCTCTCTCCCTCGCTCTCTGAGCTCTCTCCCTCGCTCTCTGAGCTCTCTCCCTCGCTCTCTGAGCTCTCTCCCTCGCTCTCTGAGCTCTCTCCCTCGCTCTCTGAGCTCTCTCCCTCGCTCTCTGAGCTCTCTCCCTCGCTCTCTGAGCTCTCTCCCTCGCTCTCTGAGCTCTCTCCCTCGCTCTCTGAGCTCTCTCCCTCGCTCTCTGAGCTCTCTCCCTCGCTCTCTGAGCTCTCTCCCTCGCTCTCTGAGCTCTCTCCCTCGCTCTCTGAGCTCTCTCCCTCGCTCTCTGAGCTCTCTCCCTCGCTCTCTGAGCTCTCTCCCTCGCTCTCTGAGCTCTCTCCCTCGCTCTCTGAGCTCTCTCCCTCGCTCTCTGAGCTCTCTCCCTCGCTCTCTGAGCTCTCTCCCTCGCTCTCTGAGCTCTCTCCCTCGCTCTCTGAGCTCTCTCCCTCGCTCTCTGAGCTCTCTCCCTCGCTCTCTGAGCTCTCTCCCTCGCTCTCTGAGCTCTCTCCCTCGCTCTCTGAGCTCTCTCCCTCGCTCTCTGAGCTCTCTCCCTCGCTCTCTGAGCTCTCTCCCTCGCTCTCTGAGCTCTCTCCCTCGCTCTCTGAGCTCTCTCCCTCGCTCTCTGAGCTCTCTCCCTCGCTCTCTGAGCTCTCTCCCTCGCTCTCTGAGCTCTCTCCCTCGCTCTCTGAGCTCTCTCCCTCGCTCTCTGAGCTCTCTCCCTCGCTCTCTGAGCTCTCTCCCTCGCTCTCTGAGCTCTCTCCCTCGCTCTCTGAGCTCTCTCCCTCGCTCTCTGAGCTCTCTCCCTCGCTCTCTGAGCTCTCTCCCTCGCTCTCTGAGCTCTCTCCCTCGCTCTCTGAGCTCTCTCCCTCGCTCTCTGAGCTCTCTCCCTCGCTCTCTGAGCTCTCTCCCTCGCTCTCTGAGCTCTCTCCCTCGCTCTCTGAGCTCTCTCCCTCGCTCTCTGAGCTCTCTCCCTCGCTCTCTGAGCTCTCTCCCTCGCTCTCTGAGCTCTCTCCCTCGCTCTCTGAGCTCTCTCCCTCGCTCTCTGAGCTCTCTCCCTCGCTCTCTGAGCTCTCTCCCTCGCTCTCTGAGCTCTCTCCCTCGCTCTCTGAGCTCTCTCCCTCGCTCTCTGAGCTCTCTCCCTCGCTCTCTGAGCTCTCTCCCTCGCTCTCTGAGCTCTCTCCCTCGCTCTCTGAGCTCTCTCCCTCGCTCTCTGAGCTCTCTCCCTCGCTCTCTGAGCTCTCTCCCTCGCTCTCTGAGCTCTCTCCCTCGCTCTCTGAGCTCTCTCCCTCGCTCTCTGAGCTCTCTCCCTCGCTCTCTGAGCTCTCTCCCTCGCTCTCTGAGCTCTCTCCCTCGCTCTCTGAGCTCTCTCCCTCGCTCTCTGAGCTCTCTCCCTCGCTCTCTGAGCTCTCTCCCTCGCTCTCTGAGCTCTCTCCCTCGCTCTCTGAGCTCTCTCCCTCGCTCTCTGAGCTCTCTCCCTCGCTCTCTGAGCTCTCTCCCTCGCTCTCTGAGCTCTCTCCCTCGCTCTCTGAGCTCTCTCCCTCGCTCTCTGAGCTCTCTCCCTCGCTCTCTGAGCTCTCTCCCTCGCTCTCTGAGCTCTCTCCCTCGCTCTCTGAGCTCTCTCCCTCGCTCTCTGAGCTCTCTCCCTCGCTCTCTGAGCTCTCTCCCTCGCTCTCTGAGCTCTCTCCCTCGCTCTCTGAGCTCTCTCCCTCGCTCTCTGAGCTCTCTCCCTCGCTCTCTGAGCTCTCTCCCTCGCTCTCTGAGCTCTCTCCCTCGCTCTCTGAGCTCTCTCCCTCGCTCTCTGAGCTCTCTCCCTCGCTCTCTGAGCTCTCTCCCTCGCTCTCTGAGCTCTCTCCCTCGCTCTCTGAGCTCTCTCCCTCGCTCTCTGAGCTCTCTCCCTCGCTCTCTGAGCTCTCTCCCTCGCTCTCTGAGCTCTCTCCCTCGCTCTCTGAGCTCTCTCCCTCGCTCTCTGAGCTCTCTCCCTCGCTCTCTGAGCTCTCTCCCTCGCTCTCTGAGCTCTCTCCCTCGCTCTCTGAGCTCTCTCCCTCGCTCTCTGAGCTCTCTCCCTCGCTCTCTGAGCTCTCTCCCTCGCTCTCTGAGCTCTCTCCCTCGCTCTCTGAGCTCTCTCCCTCGCTCTCTGAGCTCTCTCCCTCGCTCTCTGAGCTCTCTCCCTCGCTCTCTGAGCTCTCTCCCTCGCTCTCTGAGCTCTCTCCCTCGCTCTCTGAGCTCTCTCCCTCGCTCTCTGAGCTCTCTCCCTCGCTCTCTGAGCTCTCTCCCTCGCTCTCTGAGCTCTCTCCCTCGCTCTCTGAGCTCTCTCCCTCGCTCTCTGAGCTCTCTCCCTCGCTCTCTGAGCTCTCTCCCTCGCTCTCTGAGCTCTCTCCCTCGCTCTCTGAGCTCTCTCCCTCGCTCTCTGAGCTCTCTCCCTCGCTCTCTGAGCTCTCTCCCTCGCTCTCTGAGCTCTCTCCCTCGCTCTCTGAGCTCTCTCCCTCGCTCTCTGAGCTCTCTCCCTCGCTCTCTGAGCTCTCTCCCTCGCTCTCTGAGCTCTCTCCCTCGCTCTCTGAGCTCTCTCCCTCGCTCTCTGAGCTCTCTCCCTCGCTCTCTGAGCTCTCTCCCTCGCTCTCTGAGCTCTCTCCCTCGCTCTCTGAGCTCTCTCCCTCGCTCTCTGAGCTCTCTCCCTCGCTCTCTGAGCTCTCTCCCTCGCTCTCTGAGCTCTCTCCCTCGCTCTCTGAGCTCTCTCCCTCGCTCTCTGAGCTCTCTCCCTCGCTCTCTGAGCTCTCTCCCTCGCTCTCTGAGCTCTCTCCCTCGCTCTCTGAGCTCTCTCCCTCGCTCTCTGAGCTCTCTCCCTCGCTCTCTGAGCTCTCTCCCTCGCTCTCTGAGCTCTCTCTCTCTCTCTCTGAGCTCTGAGCTCTCTCTCTCTGAGCTCTGAGCTCTCTCTCTCTCTCGCTCTCGCTCTGAGCTCTCTCTCTCTCTCTCGCTCTCTCTCTCTCTGAGCTTCGCTCTGAGCTCTCTCTCGCTCGCTCTGTAGAGGTCAGTATGTAACGCAGTGCAGCTGTCAGCATGTAACGCAGTGCAGCTGTCAGCATGTAATGAGGTGCAGCTGTCAGTATGCAACGCAGTTCAGAAGTCAGCAGTCAACATGCAATGCATTGCAGCGGTCAGTATGTAACGCAGTGCAGAGGTCAGCATGCAACACAGTGCAGCCGTCAGTATGTAACACAGTAATCGGTAAGCATGTAATGCAGTGCAGCAGTCAGCATGTAACGCAGTGCAACTGTCAGTAAAGCAGTGCATCAGTCAGCATGTAATGCAGTGCAGCTGTCAGTAAAGTCGTGCATCAGTCAGCATGTAATGCAGTGCAGCAGTCAGTAACGCAGTGCAGCAATCAGTAAAGCAGTGCAGCAGTCAGGGACTTACAGTGGTTCTTCTCTCCTGTTTCAGGTGCTGTGCCATCTTCTTTTCCTCTCCTGGTGGGGGGAGCAGTGAGGTCGCCTGCACGTTTTCAGGTGATTCCAGCCACTTCCTGCTGCCCTCCCTTTAGGACCCAGCAGACAGGCAGTAGGAGTGCAGCCTCCCTCCAGCCAATGGCAGAAGAAGTGGGCGGAGGGAGCTGCCGTTGAGCCCGAACACTACACGGGCTAATCAAAGGCAGCCGAAGAGCTTCAAGCGATTGCAGCTGCGCCAGCGGGGGCCGTTTTTACAGGCACCAGAGAGGCCCGGGGGGCAATTGCCACCATGCCCCCCCGGCCCAGTCTGCCCCTGCTCCTAATAATAAAGCAGTGTATACCTAAAACTTGACTGTATTAAACGGTAATAAAACAAATCTGAATTGTGTTGCATCTTAAATCCACCAGGCTTTCCCTTCTATACATTCAGATGCATATTTAAAAGCATCAGTTCTTTAAAGTAAACCTAAAGTACAGCAGTAGCTTTATCCAGTGATTACCCCTTGTCTAAAAATGTGTTTCATACTTTGTGTTCATATTCAATATTTAATTTTCTCAATTGCAGTCTTGTGCACAGAACCAGAGTAAGACTGGATAGCTGCTTTGAAGTTGTACCAAGAGGAAATTGGTGGGACAAAAAATATAGTAACCCATACAATACTAGGTTAACGTTGCCAGCATTATGAAACTGTAATCATTTTGAAAAGTTATTGTACTTGGCATGTTGCACTTTGGTTTATTAAAGATTCTATAAGACGTTTATATGAAAATACTGTTTCTGTTATTAATGTGTGTGTAATCTTACCCCTTGGTATCCTCTCAGGATGAGCACACCTATTTCTTATGTTTCAAATGAGTCAGTGTTCTATTTTTATGCTGTAATTTGTGAATCCATGTAAACATACTGCATTGCAGTTGAGAACAATATGTATGATTCAATGCCTTTTTTTTCTTACCCGCAATCCTTCCTGTATGTTTAAGTTCTTCTCTTGCCTTAGGTATTGCCACGCTGATCAGGATGACATTGATAACCTTAAAAAAAGATGGATAGGGCATAAACTGGATAAGTAAGTGAAAAACACAATTTATTTAATCATTTTAATACATATTTCCTTTTAGATATTGCTAGTAAGTTATTTGATCTAGAACAATACAGTTACCTGATATAGCATTTTCTGGCTGGGACAAAAGAACCATTACTCATAATAGGTTTTTATATATTGACATGTCTTAAATAAAATCTATCTGTATTGCCTCAGAGCAACCAATAAGATTCAAACTTTATTTCTCTAAATGTTACCTTCAGTGTGGGTTTGAATCTGATTGAGTGCTGTGGAGCAACTCCTAATTAAACATTTGTGTTAGTTTCTTAAACAATGCTCATGCTTGGCTGTGTAAGGTTATAATGATGACATGCTTTCAACATATAGTGAGCTGGTAGTCCTGTAATAGACTTGACTATTAAAAAAAAAAGTAGTTGAGTGGCTTGTCAAAGCATACTTCTCAGGTTCGGGTGAATGCTAGCAGCCAGTTCCCTGCCAGCCTCCTCATTTCTCAGGCACCAGAAGGATGGTCTCCCCAATGGAAATTTATGCCTCACCCAACCACTGTCCCATAACTCATATTTCTCATCTTTACACTTGCAGTCAGTTTTAATTATATATTGTACACTGGAATAAACATATTGTAGCAGAGACTGACTACATTGCTCATCTTAAGGGCAAAGTACTAAGTGCTGTCTGTTGCTTGAGCCTTCCAAGGTTTAATACAAAACCTGTTTTTTTTTGTTTTTTTTATTGGCCTTTTTTTTCTTTCATTAGTTGTAAGGGGGCAGGCTTTACTGGTAGTGTCAGCAGAAAACCATGCATGATACAGAGAAACCCAGAAACAGTCCCAACAGGTTTGTCCTACACTTTTGTTCAGTAGGGCAATTAACAATCACAGTACAATGCAGGTGAGCTTTGTACAACAAGTTATTAGCATAAACCAACAAAACATCTTGTCGAAGACACTAACTAAAGATATGTTGGTTCCTAACTAATAGGAAGCCCCCAAATGGGTTCCCCATACAAACAGGCAACACATATAATTCATAAGTGTTGAACTGTAGCAGTCAGTCTTTTCACCCAACAGCAGGCTCTAACATGGCAGATAAAGAGAGCCATTGAGCTTAAGTCAGCTCACGTCTATAATGGCCTGTGCACAGCTGACAAATAATGAGGTCTAGCTTATAAGTGAAACATGGACTTAGGACTTAGGCTTTATCCCACAAACAAAATCAAAGCCTCTGGGTTTTCGGACCCAGGCCAGAGCTTAGGTTTTGAGGAGACAAGATTTGTTTTCTCTGTAACAGATACAAATCCTGGAACCCCTCATCAGGTGTAGGTGAGAAACCTAGAGCACCATCCGCAACCCTGCCAGTGACTGCCTTGCACAATATTCACTGTAACAGGTTAATATAGATGATTTTTTCATGTGATTTACCTCTTCCACCTCACACAGCATATTGTACAAAAAGAAAAATTGCTAGTACCTGGTTTCATACCTTGTGTTTAAAATTATGTCAAAAATACATGCTGAATTCAGAATGTTAATAGGTGAGTGCCTAGGGCAGCAGGGTACGGGAAGCAAGCCTCTAAAAGTACAACCAGTTATATTTTTCTTATTTAATTCCGCTCTACTGTTAGCCTATGGACATGTCAAGTCACATTTTGAAAATAAGCTATAGGAAGAAGTTCTTGCATTCATCATTACCTAAAATAATTGCCTATTACAAGGAACAGAGCTTTTATACAAGAGTGTTGCCATCACCATGATATCAAAATACAGCCTTGTTTTCTGAAAATCAGTTAGACTGGAATTTTGTTTAAAAGCCATTATATCAGCCCTGGTGCAATACCTGTTGCTCCTATTTGGACTGTTACTAATACCTTATTGGGATGCAAAGCGGGATTAGAAAGCAATATGGTGAGAGGTCCACTTACTAATGTTTTATTAAATTATCTAGGTATGCTCTTCAGGTTTCTGCAATCTTAAATTTGCCCCATCCTCAAAGAATACCAAAAAGGAGTTGACCATAAAAAATGGCTCATAGAATCACTACTGGCCTTTGATAGTTTGAACTTCTTCAAATGTGTTTTTCCTGTATTCTAGTGACCTTTTTGTGTTTTTTCTTTCTGAAAGTGATTACTTCAGACCTAAGATCAAGTTGTCCTTTTTACTCATTTGACTGCTGGAAAGCTTTGCATTCCTTTCCACAACATTTATTCTAAATAAGGGCTACTTTAACAGAGGCTGAGTACCAGTTAGTTGGTCTTTAGCTATCACTATTTCCAGATTGTGCAATTTGAAAGTGCTGAATCTGTATCCAAGCACATAAATCTGCATCACAGTCTTCTGCCAGTTAAGTAACGCTTCACTGGAGAAGAGTTTTGCACTGTGGTAGCATCTCCCCAAGATCTCTGTTTAGGGGCAACGCTCCACCTTGTATGGGTATCCATGCATCTGGACTATTTATTTTTATTTTCTCCAAGTCTGCAGATGACCTACAATTGAGACATCAATTATTTTGGTGGCCTGGGCAATCTGCATGCAAAACAACAACTAGGCAAGCACCAAATGAGCAGCTAATATTTCTAATGGTTACAGAACAAGGGCAGACTTTTATCATTGACCTTCTGCCACCCTGTGACTGATGTGTAGCTTCCATTATGTGGATAATTCCACACCAATACACACCAGCAATCACACCAGAGAATTTTTTTAATTCTTTGTTGTTTATGGACTCTCATATTTAAACACTTTTTTGGGATGTTCCAGCTACCACCATGATCCATACCAATTTCCAACATATATGTGTGAAGAGATTCGGCAAATACTACCGTAGTCTTCTTTATTTTTAAGTGTCAAGGTTTGGCTTTTATAAAAATATCTGTCACAGGTTTTCCCCAGCCTCAAACTGCCCCCTTTCATGTTCGCCCCATCCATGTTCGCCCCATCCATGTTCGCCCCATCCATGTTCGCCCCATCCATGTTCGCCCCATCCATGTTCGCCCCATCCATGTTCTTTAAAAGTATTGTTGAAATTTCTGAATCCTGATTGGTACTTTATACATTTGCTTCTCCTGATCTGGTCCTAGGGTGTATACTTGAGCCTATATCTATGCTATTAGGTTGATTTTAGAAAAGCTAAAGACACACAAAAAAAATCCCTGCTCTCATATGAGTAGATTTTAACCCCTTCTTGTCATGGCTGCATCTGTTCCAGTTTCTTATAGGGCTGGTAGCAATTCCCCTAGGTGTACCCATGAACCACCTCCTGTCTTAAATTGTAGAATGCAAAGGCAAAATATTTTTTATCATATAGCGCTTAAAGGTTCTAAGAAGGTCTGTAGCAAAAAAGCACTCTGAACATTTTTTCAAGAAGTGTTCAAAAAAGGAGCCTTACAGAAGGAATGAATATGACTGATAAATATATTGACAGTATATTGAAATGTCTAAGTATTAAAACCAAATGCTGAATTATCCTTTTAGGTTTGGGATGTTTTTACAGCCACCTAGTTTGTTTTGTTTCCCTTTTTCATAATTCCCTGTTGCCACTAGCCAATTATAACTCTTTAACATAAATATAATGGGCTTATTAAATTTGCAAGAATATTGATTTTGTGCTTGGGATTTGCCAAGTTCCTGCTGACGCAAGCAAAGGCCCTTAACAGAGATGTACTTTATTTGTAATGACAAATAAAATAAGCCTTTTTCCAATTTTACCATTGCTACATAAAAGTACAGCACTAGCATTGATCTGCGAATTTACAGACTGTAATCGGCCCGCACGTACAGCTCGGTGCTGTGTGCAGGGCCGTACCGAGCAGCTCCCGGGAAGGACAGGTGCTGCGTGTGATTAGTACACAGCCCCCGTCCTTCTCTATCGGACTACATGCCCGTACGCCCCCTACGCTCACCTCAAGTGCAGGTTCGTAGGAGTGCGTGTTTCCGCGCTCGGATGCAGACAAGATCTATTCTGTCGGCGTACGAGTATGCTCACCCACACCCACACGGACGTGCAGGGCGGGCGAGTGTAGGGGGGTGTACTGCTGCATAGTCCCATGGAGAAGGACGGGGGGCTGCGTACTAATCGTACGCAGCACCTATCCTTCCCAGGAGCTGCTCGGCACGGCCCTGCATGGAGCTGTACGTGTGGGCCAATTACAGTGTGAATGAGGCCTTAAGGTATTCCTATTTGTTGTAGTAATGTGCAATGCAAGTTTACTTCTGAATGGCTGAAGTGATTCATCTATGCTACAAAATGCTTCTCTGTCATCAGACTATGTAAAAGTTCTCACTCTTAATATTTTTACCAGTGCTGTAAGCAAAACACTACTTCAGTTCATGTAATTTTGCTCCCCCATGAACCAGTAAGAGGACCTGGTTTTTCCAAGTTTCCCGTTTTGTAAGCAGCTGCGTGAATTACTTTTTCCAAAAACCCATGCAGATTATTGCATTTGTGATGTGTGAAAAGAGCTGGAAAATGTGCACTGTTAGTGTCAGTTGAGGACCCGTTTGGGGAACAATAGCTTAATATATACTGGACAGACTGATTCCTGTACTGCTGATTCACTGGCTCCTCTCCCATGAAATACAGTTGCTCAATTCAATTATCTTTATAAATACTAATATTTAAAGAAAAAGTATGTAGTATGTCTAAATGAGCACGTCATAAAATCTGGGGCTGTATCAAGATCAATTTCTGATGTGCTCATACAATATGATTAAATATAAAACCATGTAATCCGGTCTTCTACAATTGTCATGAAATAGCTGTACATTTTTTTTTTCTTTTTTGCTAAGGTTATAATGCCTTTACCATCCACATTTCATAGAACACTGTATACATTTTTAAAGTGTAGTTTATACATTTTATGTCTTGCTTTAGAAAAATAAATGATGAGGTACAATATAGTGCAAATGCCCAAACCAAATATCAGACTCCATAATAATGAAAAAAATTACTGTTTTTCATGTCCAGCTTCCCTGCAGTAAATTGTTTAAGCATTAATGCTGCTGTTTTATAGGTCCGATTTATTAGCTAAATTAATAAGAATACATGAAGATATGAAAAATATCAACATATTTTTTACATTTGCCCCACTGAACATTTTTATTTATGGTTTTAGTTATACTTGTTCTTTTCCCTGATCCATTATTAAAAATGTAAGCTTTTTCCCAGTGAAGAAGGAACCTAATATATAGTTACATAGTATTTGAGGTTGAATAAAGACATTAGTCCATCAAGTCCAACCTATTAGGATCCCCATGGAAACTGACTTAATTTGCCGAACCCTGTACATGTTATGTTTCTACCTATAGCTTCCCCATTGTGGTGAGAGTTAATGTCTATTAAATATACCTGTTGGATAACTGCAAAAAAACCTATTGATTCTTACAGAACTCCAGTGAGCATATAAGTTCCTGTGCCCACTGCAGTGTTATCACCAGCATCTCCGGGCCAGTTTGTAGGCCCAACACACTTCTTGCCCTATGGTCACCCTGCTGCTTCATAGATGCAGTACAGTGAGGGAGCATAGTCACCCTAGGATGGGAAATGTGTTTTAACAGCCATATCAGTTGAAAATAAAAAACAAACTGAAAAAGGAAATCCTTTTCACTGCTACTGGGCACCATTACTGGCACTATGGTAATGTTTGTGCTCCATTAAAAAAAAATTTGCAGTTGATTTTGTTCTTCTCCTTTTACAGTTACAATAAAAAAATCTATAATTCGCAGGATATATACCTCATACCTCTCTAAAATTAAAATGCATTCCTAATGGCTTTCAGGATATGTGCTAGACATAGTTCTTTAGAATAAGTACAGTATTGAGGAATGCTAGAAAAGTTTCCAAATGATTCTGAAAATTGGAATACCTCTCGGCAGTTCCATGTCTCGGATCTGGAACTGAATATGCTGTCTAAAAGTAGATGCAAATTCAACACACACTGGATTTGTTTTGGTATATCATGGGAACTGTTGGGTGGTATGAATAAATACATATCTTTTAAATAGGTTACAATTATACATGTTTAATGCAGCTGAAACAAACCATGTTAAAATGTTTCCTTTTGTAGATCGCCATTTGCTGCTGTTACAGATTACTCTGTCACAAGGAACAATGTTATCCAATTGTGCTTGGAATTGACCACAATTGTCCAGCAGGTTTGTATATGACAACTGATTTGACATTTTGTTGGAAATATTTTGTCTATCACCTTAATATGCAACATTTTAAAGCTGAATTCTATGAAGAAAACTTTAGGCAGCTTTAATAATGACCTTGCTCATCCTTAACAAATGCTGAAGACACTGTACAATCACTGTTGGGATTGTGCATAATAAGGGCTTAGTGTACCTTTTCTCTTTTTTATAAGCTTGATGTTCACTGCTTCTGCTCCTTCCCTGGACCACCAATCTTGTGACATCCCCACTGTAGTCCTTTCATTACCCAGCAGCAATGTGTGTATTGGTGGCCATACTCACAACCATTGTACAACTTTTTTTGTCCAGACATCTCGCCCTCGTTCAATCTTCTTACTAGCCCATCACGCACAGACCAATGTAGTTCGCAATTACTGCTCATCAGCACCACCACCTGGCTCATTTTCATCGAATGAAAGGACAGATTTTTGTTTGCGCATGTGCAGTTTTCATCTTGAGATTTGTGTTGTACAACAACGCCACTAACCTGACCAATTTTCGTCCAACTAGACAAAAGTTTTCTAGCCTGCTTGAAAGACAAAAATCTGCCGGTTGTGCACTTTCCATCAACTGGCAGATTTTCGGACGAGAACGCAAAAGCAGACAAAAATCTCCAGATAATTGTAAGGTGTATGGGCACCTTAAGTGTGAAGAACCAGGATCATAGACCCCTGGTCTGTCCTGCCCACTAGCATGGCCATTCACTCCTATAAATACCCCTCCTTACAAACCTATCCACAATAATTCCCATTGAGAACTACAACTCCCATTGCATGATGGGGATCACAGTGTTTCTTTAGCCCTGCACAATGAGGAGAAGTGAAATGAGCACTTGATACCTCCTTCGGGGGCCTAAGTATAGTGGGACTTTCTCTATGATGTCACAGTCTTTCCTAAGGTACCCAAATCAAAAACCTAGGAATTTTTAATTGGAAATTTAAAACAATATAAACATTAGGGCAGGAAGTTGTGGCAAAATTGAACACTATCCCGGAGTTCCTTACTACACCAAATGAATCTGCTTTACTCCAAAAACCCTATATTCCATCATAACAGCTGTGCCAAACTGAATAACCCCACATCGCGTTCTAAATTTCCCAAAACAGTAAAGCTACACTGCTTAGTTTCCTTACAACATCTGGTTAGTTTCCTCTCAAACAGCCCATTTTTCTTGCAGTATGATACACACATTGCCAGATGTGCATCCTCTCCGAGTTATATACATTTTTCCTTGTTATTTACTTAAAATCTTTGTAATTTCTTACTTACTTTTTACCTTTTTCCTTTAGCACCCATTCCATTTTAAAGGGAGGTACCTGCGGGGACCGCTCTCTGCAGGGAGATGATCGGGAAGTGAACAATGTGTTCACTCCCCGACCAATAGAGCTGACGTGTGACAGTTTCAATGTCACTTTGCTGGCTATCACTATGGGGGTGAGTGTAATTGACTCACCCCGTAGTTCTCCTTTAATGACTCAGACCAGAGACAAACGGGTAACTAGCATTTTCAGAAAGCGATCAACAGTGGCAGCTTTTGTATTTTATTTTTGACAGGTTTCCTTTGAAGTCTAGCTAAACCCAAGGGAAGGTTTGGAAAGTTTTTATGGTTGTCTCTGTCTATGCTGGGGAGAGTCTGTGCTTGTGACCTGTCTGTGCTTGTGCCACAAGGACTGAAAGAGGGGAAGAACCCCCACATTTCTAGTTTATATCGGAACAGGAATAGAGAGCAAATGTTCCATTGAGAACACTTGTTCGAATAATAACTGCCTGGTTTGTATTTCCATTACTTTTAGAGAGATTTCTTATTTGCTGCTTTTTCTGAGAGACAGGAAGTGAAAGAAAATTGACCTAAAAAGACACCGCATAAACTAACAATTTTTTGTCCGCTCACCACTCTATTAAGAAGTAAGCATTGTAGCTTAAATTGTACTTTAATCTTTAGCATGTCTATGACGGTTTTTTTCTATACAGGAGTGTGCAAAGCAATTCAAACCCAATACAAGTGCGCGCATAGACTTGTATAGCTCTGTGCTAGTAACCGAATACTGTAACTTTACCATTTAGACCAATGCAAATCACATATTGATCTTAGAGGCTGACATTTGCTGGAGAATCACGTGAAGAATGTTAACAAGCCCTGTACTGTGGCGACTGCTGGTAAAAGGCAGAGAGAGAGTTACATTTGCTATTCTGTATTAACACGTTTTGTGGTGTCCTCCATTCTTAGCATTGTTTCAAAGGGCATATTTTATCATCTGCATTTGGAGAATAATCTGTTTGATCTAAACGGACATTTGCTGTAAAATATGGCAGAAATGCTGCAGCTATTTGCTTTCTTTGGCCCTGCGCGTGAAGGCCAAGATGAATAAAAGAAAGTCATCGTTCTGTGATTTAATTTTCTTTTAGCCCATTCCTTGCATATCAAAATCTTGTCATGCCTTGGCTATAATAAACAGAAGCTTTGAATGGCAGCATTACAAGGCTATGCATTTTGTATGATTTCATGCTGTAGAGTTAAATGCTGGTAGCGTAGGATACTTTTAGACACAGTTGTCGAAATACTTCTTTAGTGAAGAAACACTCTCAGATGTTGTGCCAATGCTTGTACAGTAATACGTTGTTTTGTCATTTAAGACACTGCAAAATGGCACTTGGATTGTGGAAAGTAATCTAATCTGGTAATCCAATTTGATCTCCAAAAAAGTGAAGGGAAATCTCCCCAAAAAGGTTACTCTGACAGCAATAATAACCTGATGGAGTTTAAAAGCATAACTCTGGGCAAAATGCTTTATTAACTCTTGCAATGGGGCTACCCCCACACTACAAAGATTAAGTGCTCGTTTTAGTCTGGGGACTAAAATAGAAAAGGTATACTTACTCGAGCCTCTGAACCGGCTTGCTCTTAGACCGCTCTCCAGCCTCTCTTTAGCCTCTCATCCCCTCTGCTGCAGGGTCCCGGAGCCATCATGTCTAATACACAGTGTATAGGAAGTGAGGATGCTGAGGGACATAGCATCACTGCAGCGTAGGAGGAGACAGGCTGGAAGGGCTGTGATAGCTGGTCTGCTTTGAGGTTTTGGGGAGTTCAACTTTATTTTATTCTCTAGATGGAAGCAAGCAGTTAACCCTTGCAGATGCAAGGTGCAATTGGTGCAATTGTTGTTTTCATACGCAAGTGCATCTGAATCATGTGTTGTCATTCATGTATATATGGGGGAGGGGGGGCCTTAAAAAAAACCTTAGTTTTTTTTAATGTTTTAAACTTTTTGACAGGTTTTCTTTAATGAGGCATCAGGGCTCTAATAGACCCCTCATGTCTTCCCTGCTCTCCATTGAGACTAATCAAGCACAGCTTGAGGCGAGTGCGGGGTAGTACGTTTTGGTGTGTCGAAGTGGAATAGGCAGCTGTAAATCACTTCCAGTAGAGTAGGCAGTGGCAGCCAGCAGTGTGTTTGAAGGCATTGAGAGGGTTACGTGCAGGAAACCAATGCCCATCGTCTTAAGCCCTTAGAGTTCCACCTGAAAGTAATATAGGTAACTTAGGTCAAACATACAGTATGATGACAAGCAGTTTTAAAGGTAAACTTTAGGCACAAAAACTTTCATTTAAATCTATTTCTTAATAGCCATAAATGTGCACTGAATGCTTTTTTAAACCCAGTTATTACATTGTAAAACAGCAGTGATATCATCACTGTGCTGTACACAGAGCAGAGCCACCCTCTACAGGCTGCTTGCAGAAACTACAGAAGGCAGAGATAAGACCAGTAACCCTGCACAAGTTGAGAGCAGCAGTAACTGGTCTTTATTACAGGAAGCTCCTGCACAAAGGCAAAAGTTTCATGCTATATTACTGGAGTTTAGCTTTAAGCAGAAGTTCCCTTTATTGAAAACTGGATGTCAGTAGAACGACTTTTGCTGGGAGTTTCAAAATGTTGGATTGTTCAGCAGGCACTCCCTCCATGTCCATTTTTTCAATGCTACTAAAATTTCCAGATGACCATATTTTAAAGCCCAACAACCAGCATATTATTGAATAAAGGGAAAATTAGCATTTGAAAGAAACAAACCATGATATACATCCAATCTCTTAGGATATTTACAGGGTTATTCACAACTGCAGATTTTAAGAAATACACATTCTAAGTTTGGTTTTCTCTTTCTTTTAAATGGTATTGCTAAACTTCTTGGGCTCATCTATGTTGATCAATCCCTAACTGTGACTTTCAGCTGCAAGCCCTGACCTCTGCTTTCCTAGTTCCCTTTTTCTTCTTATTTGTCTTTTAGATTACACCTTTTCGCTGTTGTTTTCGGACTATGCATCTACCCTCTTTCATGTATCATAATCCTACACATTAGCCCTAAGTGCTGCCAAAGAGACATGAAGCACATCAAGCTTGGCTTGATTGGTAAAGGCAACAACCATGACTCAAATGTCTATTATATCTGAAACTGATGCAGATTTCATTGCAAAATGTAAACACAATCATGAAGCTATCAAATAAAAGTCCAGAATAATGTTCCAAAGAAGCCCTAAACTGGCTTGGTTTGTAAAACATGTTTCAAATCTTCAACATCCTTTGAAGTAATGAGAAATGTAATATTAAAAATATGCCATGACTGTGACAGCTCAGAGGTCATTTGCCAATACAGGAAAATAAGGCATTAGTCCGAAAAGGAATCAATTGGTCAATAGAACTATAAAGGACCTGCAGAGACCCAAAGTTGAGATGAGAGAAACCATCTATAGGAAAAATATTACCCAGAAGCCCCACAAAACTGGACTTTATGCAACAGTGATAAGAAAGCCATTGCGCTAAAAAACAAAACCCAAAACAAACCCCCATATCAAATTAGGTTTGCCAAAAGGCATATGTAAGAGACAACAATATTATTTAGATAAGATAATGAAAAGGTATTTATATCAATATATATATATATA